GATCTTTCAGTTGACAATAGTATAAGCTTGGCCAATTGAATTAACAAAAATGGTTGAAATGAATTTATACAGTCAATCTAAGTAATTGAGACAATTACTTTTGAGTTATAAATTTAACAATAGGCACAGAGTGGCACAGCATGGGATTGATTGATGTAATTGACTTGCATTTTGTGGCCAAAAATAATAAATTTGTAGTTTATATATAATCACATTCTAAAATGAGGAAAAATTAATAATATCATAATATATCTAACGTGTGAAAGGAAAAGTAATAAGAAAGAGATTGGGTTGTGATTTTGTGACTATAATCAAAAGAAATGTGTATATATCCTCCATCTTTGTAATTCTAAATAAAGGCAAAAATAAAATAAAATAATTTTAGATGAATTTTTATAAGAAAAAATAAAATGTCAAAGAAGTCAAGGAATTATCAAATCAAGGATCATAAGCTGAGCAAGGAATCCGTGAAATCCGTAATCCGATCCAGTCCAGTCCAATCCAGTAGGTTTGGATTGGTTTTTTGAATCCGTGGTTCGGTTCCGGATTGAAAAATTAAAAATCCGTAGTTCACGGATTGGTTCCGGATTGAATCCCACGGTTCCGGATTGGAACCAATCCGGACCGTATACAAATAGTCTATATTTTTATTATACACCCTCATGCGTAGTATCTTCTCTTATTTCATATAAAACTTAAATCCAAACCTAAACTTGCATAGTATCTTCTTTTATTACTTTTGTTTGCTAGTTTTTAGTGTTAATTTGTAATGGTCTAAATATTTATGGTGGAACTAGTTTATTTATGGTTGTTTAAATTCTAGAACAGTTTGTCGCTATTATGAAAAGACATATTGCTATTGTGAAACTAATATGGTGCTATATTTATATTTTTATGAAATTAAAGTATTATATATATTTTTTTGTTATTTAATTATATAAATCCGTGGTCCTAAACCGATCCAATCCATATTTAAATGGATTGGTTCGGATTGGTTTCACGATTTAAACGGATTGGATTGGTTCTAATTTTTCAAGATCCGTAGATAACGGATTGGTTTTGGTTTTACTCCAATCCGGTCCAATCCGGACTATGCTCACCCCTACATAATCGTAGATCCAATTTTATTTTATACATTATCATTTTTGTAGATCCAATTTATTATGATCCTTGATTTGATAATTCCTAAAATGTCAAAGAAGTCAAGGAATTATCAAATCAAGGATCAAATAATTTATACATGAAATGACTAGAATACTAACCATTAGCATGGGCCCATTTCATGTATAATTATTTTGTAGATCCAATTTATCACGTAATGGTAGGAGGATACATATTTATTTTGTTTAAAAATATAATAAAAAATGGGGGAAAAAAAGAAAAAAAAAAGTTACATGACTCTATTTAATTGGAAAATATAAGTCGGAATTATTTATTTTTACGGGCCAGTGAATAATTTTCATTACTTGGATCCAAATAGCCCAGTCCAGGTACGCTGGGCTTATGATACAGGCCCGTTCTATTACAAGACAAGCACGTGCCTCACGTTCTTCAATTCCGCGTAAAAAAATAGTAAATAAAATTTCCGCGTAATTTACGGAGAAATAATTCTTCGGTACAGCAGAGACAGCACTACATGGTGCACCAATCCCATTCCCATTGGTTAGGTCTCCTGTAGGTGGGCAAGTTTTAGGAAAAATTATGAAAAAAGATTGGGAGTTCTAAATTAAGAGTTCTAATAGCTCTAATTGGTGTGTGAATCCCATGTGATGTGATGTTTTAGTCTTATTTTTTTCTTCTTTTTTTTTTTGATTTTCCACATTATTAGTGCTCTTTTAGAGCTTCCAAATTAAAAGGATGTATCATTTCTGAAAAATTATTGGTTAATCCTGAAGTATTACGTGATCATGTATCACAAATCACCATGTTCTTTAATCACCCAATACAAAGACCTCTTTTAGTAAGTAGATTAAAAGTCAACTTATTAGTTTTTTTTTGACTTTTTTAGGTTAAGTGGTATTACATGCATCAATTAGTATATTAATTATTGTACTAATAGATACTATGACATTGTTATTTCAAAGTTATAGGCCTCATCCATTATACAAATTAGAATTAATTACCTAAAAGTCTTATTTATAAATGTTATGATAACTTAAGTCATATTTAAGATTTTTTTGAACCAATAAGTCCTATTTAGTAAAACTAAAAATATTATCAGTTTTTTTCAACTTTTAAAATTAAAAACATTATCATTTTTAATCATTTTACTATTGATAAAAAAACAGAGTACGAGATTAACGTTTTTACCCTTCTACTTGTTGGTTTGATTCAACTATCCAATAAAATCGAGAACATTAACAGTTTTTTTTTTTAATTTTAAAACTGAGAACATTATCAATTTTTTCATTTAATTTTTTTTTTCAGTTGTGCACATCAATGCTCCATCATCATGTTCCTTTATAGTAGAGGTTGTTGCAGGTCTGTTACGACCACGAAACCTCCAATCCGCTATCCGTCCGTCGGATTGGCGAATTTAACAAAATCAATCTACATCCATCCGCCAATCCGACTGATACGGATTAAGCGAATTGGCAAATGAATGTGAATTGATTTGGCGGTTTAAAATTTTACAAATTTTTTGATTCCATTCTGCATTAAAAAGTGAATCACTTGGAAAACTAATTTTGTATCTCAAGTTGGGAAATGGTCACTGATAAATGGCAGTGCTTACCAAATGTTTGGCAAATTTGAAATAGAAGGAGCTATGCAATTACTAGGCAGTAGAAAATACAACTTTCCACACATACATATGTCCATATATTCATATATTAACATATATATAAGCAAAATGAAAAATAGAAATCAAAAGCAGTAATTCCAGTGGTATTGAGCTATGATTATCAATTATGCACATTTTTCTGAAGATAAAATGCAGAAGTATTACATTTAAGAAACAAAATTCACCATAGCAATGAAAAACAACTCCATCACATCAATTTTTTCTTTTTGTGAAAAATTATTGAGACAAAATTTAACTGAGCAAAAGTTCAGAAAAGATACACCTCCGAAAGCAGCTCATCCAGCAAGGACCGATGTATAAGTGTTGGATCAACAAATGTTTATTGCTTGCATTCCCACAAGGAGGGATTGGTTTTACATGAACTCCATAAAGATCTAGGATTTAAAAGTAAATAAACATAAAAGATAATGAAAATTCAAAACTATTTACTTTCTCAAAAAATAACTAAGCCTATAACAAAGAAAATCCTCATTGCATCAGCTAAATGAGAACATTAAAAAGAGGGACTAATATAGAAACTTTACTAAGCCATGGTATTTGTGTTACAAAGAACTGTGCAGTCCTCAGTCGTGAAGCTGCTTCAAGCTTTGTTGGAATTTTCAAAGCAAAATCTGAAAGGACCATAAACATTGATTCAATTTGAATTAAATTAACACATACCACATAAAAAATTAAAAAATATATATATAAAAAACATTAAAAAAAACCTATAGAATTGAATGAATTTGACTTTAGAAAATTTAAAAAAAACCCAGATAAAATTATTGTAAATATAGACCATTTGGTCAATGCCCAGATGGTAAAATCCAAAGAATCGATCGAATTCGTAGAAATAATAAAAGGAAAATCGTAATTTCGATAAATATTTGCATTGAAACAGAGGTGTATGTAAGAGGAATTAGGGTAATTGTAGGAACTCGAAAACCTACTTAAAGTCAAGAGGGTATCACGATGGTGGTTCTTCCTCAAAGAAGAACTAGCGCGAATCTTTGTTTCTCGAACATTTTCTTGAGAAAATTTGGGAAATAGAAACGCAAAGTATAAAAATAGAAGCCAGTTGAATCAAGCTCATTGCAGAACACAGAACACATGTTAAGAAGAAATGAAGGGAATAAGAAAATAGAAGAGAAGATGAGAAGATAAGAGAAGAGAAGAATACCTTCCAATCGAGGCTTTGATCGCTGCTCACCGTTACTGTGGCCGATCGTTGCTTACTGCCACCGTCGCCGATCTTCGAAAGTCGCTCGCCGTCGTTCAAGTAAGAGAGAGGCAAAGAGTTGAGAGAGAGTCGAATGAAAAACCTAGGGTAACAAAAACGTGAAATGAAAAATTGGGGCAAGACAGAGGGGGAAAGTGGAAAAATATGGGGCGCAGGCGGGTCAAGTACAAGAATAAAATTGGCAAATAATCCGCTACCCGACCCAAACCCTTAAAACTGGAAATTTTAGGCCCGCATCCATCCGCCACGTGTCATGCATCCACTCCAAGCACGTCAGGGTCGAGTCGGGTCGGGTTGATTTGACGGGTCGAACCATCCGCTACCCATTAATTCCTACTTTATAGACACAAAAAATTTAATTTTGTACAATTTTTTTTTTTCACATAATTTTGTTTTAGTTCTTCCAATTTAAAAGTTGATATTTTAAAATTTTAAAAATCAAAATATATGTCAAATCATCATGTTCCTTTATAGATAATAATAAATGATGAACAATTATTATTTGAAGAACAATTCCGACTATTAAAATTTTAAGACATTTGAAGGTTCAAAAATCTTAATTAGAACTTAATGAAATATAAGTTCATAAATTAAAACTTTGTGTAAATGACCCTACAAACAATAAGATCTAAAGTCTTTAAAATTATGACACATCAATTGTTAATACACTAATTAATATATATAGTTTTATTCTTTTCAAAAATATTTAAGAGCATTAAAAGTAAAACTTTTATGTGACAGTAGACCCCACTTATAAATGATTTAATGTATATGTCTTTTATTTTTTATTTTTTGCTCTATTCATTAGTACTATTGTTAGAGTTTCAAATTTAAAATTATGAATCCTTACTCTATTATTTTAAGTCACATTATTTTTTTATTTTTTTCAAAAAAAATAAAAAATTTAACTTTTAAATATACTTCTCAAAATAAATTAAACTCGTTCTGAACTCATCAATAACTTCTCCAGTTTTAGGGCATTGCCATCGATTTTTCAGACTATCCACCAATCAAATTCTGGTAAAGCACCAGCTGGTCTTGCACCTGGACCACCCAATAGCTTCTCGTATTCACGAATATCAAAAACCCTCCCAAGTAAGATCTGGGTTTCCGAATCCAACTTCCAGTTTCTCTCTCTAAAAATTGCAGATTCAAGCGGGTAATCGAATACCTTGATTACTCTCTTTTCTTTCAACTTCTTTTCAGATCAGATGTGCTTGTTATATTCAAATCAATGGTTTTGATTCTGGAACCATTAGGTTACCATTTTTTTTAGGGTCTCAATTCGCTTCTTGATTCTTAAATCTTGTGGCAAACTATCTGGGTTTGCCATTACAAGCTTTGAATCGTTTTTTTTATCGCCCAATTAATTATCCGTTCTGGGTACTTTGAATTTGATTCAAAATCGTGTTGGAAAGGCATGAACAGTCAAGTTTGGAGATGGGTTTTAGGGTTGATGTATATTATTGCTGTTGCAATCATATGGATTGCTGCTAGTTTTGTTGTACAATCAGTTGTAGATGCAGGTGTTTCTCCGTTTCTGATAACCTACATTTGCAATTCATTGTTTGTGGTTTACATTCCCATAGTTGAAATTGGTCGCTTTTTGGAGGATAGATATGGAAGTATATTCTTTTGGAGAAATAGAAAAGATTGTAGTTTGCAAGAATTGGGAGAATCAGAAGTGGTAGTGCTTCTTCACCAGAGTGATACAGGTGTTCAAGTTCAATCTGGTGTGGTTTTGGAACAACAAGAATTGAAATACCATGAACAAGGTATTGTTATGGAACCAGAGAGTCATGCTTGCAAACCTACTTTTGGCGAAGATGGTAATAAGGATTTGGATTCAAAAGGGCGTTGGACACGCAGCAGAGTGGCAAAGGTCAGCTTGCTGATATGCCCATTTTGGTTTCTAGCACAACTCACCTTCAATTTCTCCCTGAAATATACTACAGTTACGGTAAGGCAATTTGATTCTTGCTACAGTTTTGGTTGTGTTTTAGTTTTCTTTGTTTTCTGTAAGTGTTTGAGGAAACAAAACCGATGACGAGTTTGAAATTCATATTGTTTTCATTTTTATGCAAAAACGGTATTTGAAAAGTTAGAAGTAAATTGTTTGGCTGTGTTTTAGTTTTCTTGATTTTCTTTGTTGTTTCTGTATTTTGTGTTTGAGGAAACAAAAACAATTAGAAGTTTGAAATTCATATCGGTTTCATTTTTGTGCGAAACAGATTTTGAAAAGTTGAAAGTAACTTTTTAATGTTTCCTAGAAAGTGGGTTTCTTTTAGAAGAATTTTCAATTCACCAAACAAGTATATTATTATGATTTTCACAAACATAACCAAATAAGCCCTAATTTATTCTCATTATTCTTGTGTACAGTCAAATACCATCTTAAGCAGTGCTTCCAGCCTTTTCACCTTTGTGGTCGCTCTTGCATTTTTGGGCGAGAAGTTCACTTGGGTTAAGCTGATTAGTGTTCTTCTTTGCATGGGAGGAACCATAATTGTCAGCTTGGGTGACTCTGAAACCGGGTTAAGTGCAATTGCTTCAAATCCTGCGCTTGGAGACATTCTTGCTCTTGTGTCAGCAGCCTTGTATGCTGCGTATATAACCCTTATTCGTAAAAAGCTACCAGATGATGAGGAGGGGAAAAGTGGCCAAGTCAGTATGGCACAGTTTCTTGGGTTCTTAGGTTTATTCAACCTATTGATATTCCTACCCGTTGTCCTCATACTTAATTTTACCAAGCTGGAAAGTTTTAGTATGCTGACATGGAAGCAAATTGGTCTAATTGTTGGTAAAGGTATGTGCATCAGTAAATATTTTTGATTTTTTAAATTTGTGTCAGATATGATATTTCCTTTTTAAAACATTGCATCTGATGTCGTTATAATTTTGTGGCTTGTAGAAGTTATTTTTCTTCATGTAACTATTTGTTTATTGTTCTATTGAGGTAAGTATGTCATTTATGTAACTTCAACATGCCCATTTTGGTTATCTTTTTCGTTGTCGGACAATCCTGACACATTTTTCGTACACCGTGGCACTAAAATTATGACAGCCCCTTGTCTTGAATCCATCGAGTCACTTGACATAACTCATTTTAGTGTCCTTGTTTAAGCAATGCATATGCATAGTTACACATGTAACCATGTCCACATAAGCTATTTTTGCATGTTTATGTGACCATTTATTTTATTTTATGTTTCTTTGGTTTTGTTGCAACCTTTTTTTTATGTCTTGTTGGATGGGCCTTGCCTGGGATAATTTTGGTACATGGTTGAATGTGCTCATCCTGGATATGCAAGGTACCTGAAATGTTTCTTTTACTTGGTTATAGTTGTTGGTATTAGTCTGTGATTTTATGACTTAAAGGCCTCTATGAATGAACCACTTTTCCAAGTAAATTATAAGTTTCTAGATTGCAAACCAATTCTAGCAAGGTTCTCTACTGAAGATGCATCTTTATAATTCCTTATACCCATTCTTGGGTAAAGATCGTATATTAAGCTCATATGCATAATTTTGAATAAACCAGATCATTGGTTCAGTACAATTGCTTCAAATCCTGTACTTGTGTGATAAAGCTCATATGGATAAATATCCTATCCTTGTGTGATAATCGGTCCCAGAAGATTTTATTGATTTTCAGGAGGAATATTGCTTATTTTGAATTGGGAATTTTGATATTTTGGTTGTGAGAAGATGTCACAATATCTTTGGATATTTTGGGAAAGACAAGATGATTGCCTTCATATAGTGAAACTTGAAGAGATGCCCCACCCCCCACAACCCGACACCCAAAAAAATAAGGAAAAATGATAAAGAAGATAATCTTACGGGGCTGAGTGAATTGATACAGAAATAGAGTATGATAAAAGGAAGGAGCACAAAGCGTTCTTGGTGCTCCTGTTAGAAACCCCTGAACTCAACTTTTTCTGGGTATGCTTAACTGTATGATTTGCATTCCATTGTAACCTTTTGTTATAAGGATCAGGTTCTGGGCAAGCAGTGATGGCTGAGCATGATTAAGCTTTGCTTGGGTGCCGGGCACAAACTTGTTGATCATTAAAGTGGTTGCCTGGATATATGGCTTTGTTGCATCGGTTTTTGAGTGTTGAAATTAAATATGTACGTATAGCTCAGAAGACCCATTATTGGAATTTCCAGAACAATTAAAAGGCATAAGCCAAAGTCTTTGAAATGAACTCAGTTAATTTCATCCCACATGACACTAAAGCCTTATAAAACCCTAATAACAAGCAGTGACATAATAAATTGACCTTACCTGGCTTAGTAATAATGCAAGTGTAAGCGCAATATTTTATTCCTCAAATCCTATAAAGCATCTGAAACAAACAAAAAAAACAAATAACAATATAAATTAGAACTCCTAACATAATTCTGATGAATGAAATGCATCAATTTATTTTTCTTGTGAATCTTGAATCACCTAGGATGCATTGTATAGGGTTTGGTGATGGTGATTATCTGTGTAGTAGTATAATTTTTCTTCTTGTGTAATGACCAAGTTTCATAATATTGTTATGGATGAGATTGTTTAAGCATTGCATGCTGGTACTCTTGTGTTTACGTTTATTTCCCTTGAATATGGTAAGAATTTGGTGTTGGTGTTGGTGTTGGTGGTTTATGGAGGTTTTCAATGTTTCAAAGAAGCACATAATAGGCTCACTAGACCAACAATACAATAGGGCTAGGAAAGAATGAAACATTATAGAAGTCATATATGACAGAGCAGTTGCCTGTTAGGGAATGATTGAAGAATAGACTAGCTTCTAAGCTAGTAGGTATGGTTGTTAATGGCTGACCTTGTTTGGCAAACTCTAAAAAAGTTACTTTTTGGCTAAAGCCTGTTTGTTTTTAGCTAAAAACACAAAGGATTCACTTAATTTTGCCACTTACAAAAAAGGCAATTTTTAGCAATTACCAAATGCATAAGCTTTTTAATTTCTAAAAAAGCAATTGCCGAACCTCGCCTGAGTTTTTCTAAGCTAATTTCGTTCATTTCCGTTCCCATGAGTCAATAACCACCCAAGTCCCTTTGCTAGTAGCGGGTGCATTTTTTCTATGAGTAATGCTTTACAAATAGTATCTTTGTACAAATTTTTCATGCAATTTCAAACTGAAATGCATGCCATTATAGCTCATAATTTCAAAAATACCACTATTACATCATGGATAGGTTTTTTGTTCTATTTCTAGACCGTTTTCCTTGTGCTTTACATATCGGGGTATGTCTTTGTTCTGGATTTCCTTCTCCTTGTATTTCTGTACCATTTTCCTTTTGCTTTACAAATCGGGGTATGTTTTTGTTCTGGATTTCCTTCTCCTTGTATTATGTGTCTAGATGATATATGGAATTGTGGGGAACATGCAATTTCAATGTCTAATATTTTTATGTCATCGTGTTTAGGCTTGTTGGATAATGTGCTAAGCGATTACTTATGGGCCAAGGCCGTTCTTCTGACGACCACCACGGTAGCAACAGCAGGACTTACCATTCAGGTGCCTTTGGCAGCTGTGGTTGATTCACTGACTGGGAATGCACCCAATCCCATGGACTACATTGGAGCCGCAGCTGTTATGGTTGGCTTTGCAGGCATTAACATCCCTTCAGATGCCTTTTCAAGATCAAAGGATGTCAGTTGCGAACTAAAAGAACATGGAAATGTCAGCTCAGCCTGATTAAGATCACCTTTTACTGGTCGGTCAAAACACAACAGCCACTTCCTTGCATGTCTTTTTTTTGCTGGTGTTGAATTAATATTTCCAGTGTAGCATATTGTGAGTTTTACAGATGTTATATAGGCAAGTGTACAACATTCTTAATTCTTTAAATTACCAATGTCAGCAGGCACTTATAAATACAACTTCATGATTTCAGGTATAAATTGCTCTATGGGTGTGTTATCTGGGTGATTATTCAGTATTCTCGGAGTATGGACACGTACTCCATAAGGTTTTGATTGGTGGAGAGACACAAGGGCTCACGATTTATGTTGGAGATGAGGAGACAACATGAGACTAATTAATTGATGATTGGTTTGGAGTATGGACACGTGGTGCTCCGGGAGTATTGAATAATTTCCCGTGTTACCTTTTGGTATTTTAGTAATTAGACTAGTATTTTGTTTCAACTATATTTTAATTTATTTGGAATTTAAGTTTGACAAATAAAAAGGCATTCATCAGTTCCACTGAGTGAGGGTTTGACAAATTTTTGTAGCAATTTTTTGCTTTTTTTATTTTGATATTTAGTGAATTTTTATATATATATACAAGCTTTGAATCGTTTTTTTTATCGCCCAATTAATTATCCGTTCTGGGTACTTTGAATTTGATTCAAAATCGTGTTGGAAAGGCATGAACAGTCAAGTTTGGAGATGGGTTTTAGGGTTGATGTATATTATTGCTGTTGCAATCATATGGATTGCTGCTAGTTTTGTTGTACAATCAGTTGTAGATGCAGGTGTTTCTCCGTTTCTGATAACCTACATTTGCAATTCATTGTTTGTGGTTTACATTCCCATAGTTGAAATTGGTCGCTTTTTGGAGGATAGATATGGAAGTATATTCTTTTGGAGAAATAGAAAAGATTGTAGTTTGCAAGAATTGGGAGAATCAGAAGTGGTAGTGCTTCTTCACCAGAGTGATACAGGTGTTCAAGTTCAATCTGGTGTGGTTTTGGAACAACAAGAATTGAAATACCATGAACAAGGTATTGTTATGGAACCAGAGAGTCATGCTTGCAAACCTACTTTTGGCGAAGATGGTAATAAGGATTTGGATTCAAAAGGGCGTTGGACACGCAGCAGAGTGGCAAAGGTCAGCTTGCTGATATGCCCATTTTGGTTTCTAGCACAACTCACCTTCAATTTCTCCCTGAAATATACTACAGTTACGGTAAGGCAATTTGATTCTTGCTACAGTTTTGGTTGTGTTTTAGTTTTCTTTGTTTTCTGTAAGTGTTTGAGGAAACAAAACCGATGACGAGTTTGAAATTCATATTGTTTTCATTTTTATGCAAAAACGGTATTTGAAAAGTTAGAAGTAAATTGTTTGGCTGTGTTTTAGTTTTCTTGATTTTCTTTGTTGTTTCTGTATTTTGTGTTTGAGGAAACAAAAACAATTAGAAGTTTGAAATTCATATCGGTTTCATTTTTGTGCGAAACCGATTTTGAAAAGTTGAAAGTCACTTTTTAATGTTTCCTAGAAAGTGGGTTTCTTTTAGAAGAATTTTCAATTCACCAAACAAGTATATTATTATGATTTTCACAAACATAACCAAATAAGCCCTAATTTATTCTCATTATTCTTGTGTACAGTCAAATACCATCTTAAGCAGTGCTTCCAGCCTTTTCACCTTTGTGGTCGCTCTTGCATTTTTGGGCGAGAAGTTCACTTGGGTCAAGCTGATTAGTGTTCTTCTTTGCATGGGAGGAACCATAATTGTCAGCTTGGGTGACTCTGAAACCGGGTTAAGTGCAATTGCTTCAAATCCTGCGCTTGGAGACATTCTTGCTCTTGTGTCAGCAGCCTTGTATGCTGCGTATATAACCCTTATTCGTAAAAAGCTACCAGATGATGAGGAGGGGAAAAGTGGCCAAGTCAGTATGGCACAGTTTCTTGGGTTCTTAGGTTTATTCAACCTATTGATATTCCTACCCGTTGTCCTCATACTTAATTTTACCAAGCTGGAGAGTTTTAGTATGCTGACATGGAAGCAAATTGGTCTAATTGTTGGTAAAGGTATGTGCATCAGTAAATATTTTTGATTTTTTAAATTTGTGTCAGATATGATATTTTCCTTTTAAAACATTGCATCTGATTTCGTTATAATTTTGTGGCTTGTAGAAGTTATTTTTCTTCATGTAACTATTTTTTTATTGTTCTATTGAGGTAAGTATGTCATTTATGTAACCTCAACATGCCTATTTTGGTTATCTTTTTCGTTGTCGGACAATCCTGACACATTTTTCATACACTGTAGCTCTAAAATTCTTGTCTTGAATCCATAGAGTCACTTGACATAACTCATTTTAGTGTCCTTGTTTAAGCAATGCATATGCATAGTTACATATGTAACCATGTCCACGTAAGCTATTTTTGCATGTTTATGTGACCATTTATTTTATTTTATGTTTCTTTGGTTTTGTTGCAACCTTTTTTTTTATGTCTTTTTGGATGGGCCTTGCCTGGGATAATTTTGGTACGTGGTTGAATGTGCTCATCCTGGATATGCAAGGTACCTGAAATGTTTCTTTTACTTGGTTATAGTTGTTGGTATTAGTTTGTGATTTTATGACTTAATGGCCTCTATGAATGAACCACTTTTCCAAGTAAATTATAATTTTCTAGATTGCAAACCAATTCTAGCAAGGTTCTCTACTGAAGATGCATCTTTATAATTCCTTATACCGATTCATGGGTAAAGATCGTATATTAAGCTCATATGCATAATTTTGAATAAACCAGATCATTGGTTAAGTACAATTGCTTCAAATCCTATCCTTGTGTGATAAAGCTCATATGGATAAATATCCTATCCTTGTGTGATAATCGGTCCCAAAAGATTTTATTGATTTTCTTGTGGATATACTAAGTTTTTATCCAGAAGAGTTTGTTATTTGCCATTATGTCAGGGCTGGCACCGGAGAACCTGCATTAAGAGTTTGTTCTTGAATTTGTTAGGAATATGCTAAGATTTAACATGGCCTTAGGCTTCTTATTGGTTATTTTGTGAGGCACCAGTTTTTTTTTTTTTTTTTTTTTTTTTTGGTGTTGGGGGGGGGGGGGGGGGGGGGGGAGAGAGAGAGCAAAGAACTTTTTTTTTTTATTATTTATAATTTTCAGTGGGAATATTGCTTATTTTGAATTGGGAATTTAGATATTTTGGTTGTGAGAAGATGTCACAATATCTTTGGATAGTTTGGGAAAGACAAGATGATTGCCTTCACATAGTGAAACTTGAAGAGATGCCCCACCCCCCCACAACCCAACACCCAAAAAAATAAGGAAAAATGATAAAGAAGATAATCTTACGGGACTGAGTGAATTGATACAGAAATAGAGTATGATAAAAGGAAGGAGCACAAAGTGTTCTTGCTGCTCCTGTTAGAAACCCCTGAACTCAACTTTTTCTGGGTATGTTTAACTGTATGATTTGCATTCCATTGTAACCTTTTGTTATAAGGATCAGGTTCCGGGCAACCAGTGATGGCTGAGCATGATTAAGCTTTGCTTGGGTGCCGGGCACAAACTTGTTGCCTGGATATATGGCTTTGTTGCATCGGTTTTTGAGTGTTGAAATTAAATGTGTACGTATAGCTCACAAGACCCATTATTGGATTTTCTAGAACAATTAAAAGGCATAAGCCAAAGTCTTTGAAATGAACTCAGTTAATTTCATTTGTCCCACATGACACTAAGCCTTATAAAACCCTAATAACAAGCAGTGACGTAATAAATTGACCTTACCTGGCTTAGTAATAATGCAAGTGTAAGCCCAATATTTTATTCCTCAAATCCTATAAAGCATCTGAAACAAACAAAAAAAGCATATAACAATATAAATTAGAACTAACATAATCTGATGAATGAAATACATCAATTTATTTTTCTTGTGAATCTTGAATCACCTAGGATGCATTGTATAGGGTTTGGTGATGGTGATTATCTGTCTAGTAGTATAATTTTTCTTCTTGTGTAATGACCAAGTTTCATTATATTGTTATGGATGAGATTGTTTAAGCATTGCATGCTGGTACTCTTGTGTTTACGTTTATTTCCCTTGAATATGGTAAGAATTTGGTGTTGGTGTTGGTGTTGGTGGTTTATGGAGGTTTTCAATGTTTCAAAGAAGCACATAATAGGCTCACTAGACCAACAATACAATAGGGCTAGGAAAGAATGAAACATTATAGAAGTCATATATGACAGAGCAGTTGCCTGTTAGGGAATGATTGAAGAATAGACTAGCTTCTAAGCTAGTAGGTATGGTTGTTAATGGCTGACCTTGTTTGGCAAACTCTAAAAAAGTTACTTTTTGGCTAAAGCCTGTTTGTTTTTAGCTAAAAACACAAAGGATTCACTTAATTTTGCCACTTACAAAAAAGGCAATTTTTAGCAATTACCAAATGCATAAGCTTTTTAATTTCTAAAAAAGCAATTGCCAAACCCCGCCTGAGTTTTTCTAAGCTAATTTAGTTCATTTCAGTTCCCATGATTGAATAACCACCCAAGTCCCTTTGCTAGTAGCGGGTGCATTTTTTCTATGAGTAATGCTTTACAAGTGAGTAAATTTGTACAAATTTTTCATACAATTTCAAACTAAAATGCATGCCATTATAGCTCATAATTTCAAAAAATACCACTATTACATCATGGATAGGTTTTTTGTTTTATTTCTAGACCGTTTTCCTTGTGCTTCACATATTGGGGTATGTTTTTGTTCTGGATTTCCTTCTCCTTGCATTGCTGTACCATTTTCCTTTTGCTTTACATATCAGGGTATGTTTTTGTTCTGGATTTCCTTCTCCTTGTATTATGTGTTTAATTTTTCCCGCACTTCAACCTGTACTAGATGATATATGGAATTGTGGGGAGCATGCAATTTCAATGTCTAATATTTTTATGTCATCATGTTTAGGCTTGTTGGATAATGTGCTAAGCGATTACTTATGGGCCAAGGCCGTTCTTCTGACAACCACCACGGTAGCAACAGCAGGACTTACCATTCAGGTGCCTTTGGCAGCTGTGGTTGATTCCCTGACTGGGAATGCACCCAATCCCATGGACTACATTGGAGCCGCAGCTGTCATGGTTGGCTTTGCAGGCATTAACATCCCTTCAGATGCCTTTTCAAGATCAAAGTCAGTCAGTTGCGAACTAGAAGAACATGGAAATGTCAGCTCAGCCTGATTAAGATCACCTTTTACTGGTCGGTCAAAACACAACAGCCACTTTCTTGCATGTCTTTTTTTTGCCGGTGTTGAATTAATATTTCCAGTGTAGCATATTGTGAGTTTTACAGATGTTATATAGCAAGTGTACAACATTCTTAATTCTTTAAATTACCAATGACAGCAGGCACTTATAAATACAACTTCATGAATTTCAGGTATAAATTGCTCTATGGGTGTGTTACCTTTTGGTATTTTAGTAATTAGACTAGTATTTTGTTTCAACTATATTTTAATTTATTTGGAATTTAAGTTTGGCAAATAAAAAGGCATTCATCAGTTCCAGTCAGTGAGGGTTTGACAAATTTTTGTAGCAATTTTTTGCTTTTTTTATTTTGGTATTTAGTGATTTTTTTTTTTAAATATATATATATATTTATCATTTAAAAAAAAAAAAAACATTTTAAGCCTTGTGATTAGACTGGACTACCTTAAAAATTAAAATAAGCAAAATTTGAAAGAAGGTAAAAAAATAATGAATTAATTTTCTTGGCTTTATCTTGTGTTTGTTGTTTTTATTTTTGTTTTTGTTTTTTTCGAATTTGGTTCAATTTTTTGGAAAGGATTTTCGCCTTAATACTCAAGACCTAAAAGAAAAATCATAAAACAATTTACAAAAGACACTCAACACAAAAAGTTTTGAAAAAAAAAAATAACTAAAAAAGTTGTGCCGTGCTTAATCTTAACCGCCGCACAAAACACTACGGCTATAAACGAGTTACATTAATTAAAAATTGGATTTGAAAATTTAATAATTTTAATATATATTTAAACTACAAATTTTTTTTAGGTGGTTGTCTGTTATGAAATTTTGTAAACAAATTCTTACTAATCTCCCAACTTATTCATTTTGAAAGGTTGAAGAAGCATTTCATAGGGTAGAAAATCCACTTTAAACTGTTTTTATTCCAATTAATTTATAAAATATTCTTATATTTTAATAAATCCTATTATTTGAACATTTGATATATCATATCCTAATTCTCATATTTAAGATATTTTATAGACATTTCTACCCTTCTAAATATTTTTTTGAACAAACATTAATGTTGTGAACATTCACATTACAGAATATTTACATTTATAATGTGAATATTATTAAAAATATTTTGATAACTATATCACCTATAAAATTTATTAGAACATAAGAAAATAATATAAACTAAATGAAACATAAATAAGTGAAAAGAGATTTATGAAAAAGTGTCCCTAAAGTTAAACTACTTTGGCTAACAAAAATGCTAGACTCAAAAATTTTATTAAAAATTTTATTAAATATCTCACATGGGTTTGAATCTCACATGAAACCCACATTATATGAATACTACACCCATGTAAAACATTTAGTAAAATTTTTAAGGTCTAACATTATTATAATGGATATAAAAATATGGGACTGGACAGCATAAAACCAAGTGGTAAAACACAACAAAAACACTAGGTCTTCATTAAGGGAAGAATTAAATATAACAAATAAAAAAAATAAAAATAGGAAATATATTTCAAGGCAGCTGGATTGATACTGACCGGGCAGACAGTTTTCATCTGTTTAAAATAACGATGTGTCAACAAATTTCAATGGGGTTTTTCATTAAAACCCACAAATATAGATTGTCCAATAAAACAATACTGTTGAAAAATGGAACACAATCCTTCTGAACACTTAGCTCTGTGCAGTATTTGCATACCCGTGTCTTTGCATCACCCTTCGGGTTGCAAGTGCTGCAGCCTCACTGGCACGTAATGTCCCACTTGCCATAATGGCAGTGAATTCAGCGCAGATCTCCTCTTGTACCTTGTTCCGGGCATTCCCAATAGGATCATTGACAGATGACTTTAACTGTGACACCGTTTTGTCCGTCTTCTTTGACTCCCCAAACTTGGCAAGTTGCTCTTCAGATTTCACTTTACTTCCACTCTCTTTGAGATTCACTTTTGTTGTTGATGACTTGCTACCACTAGCTACAGATTTCCCGATGGTGCTTGTTGGCTGGGGAGTCTGGGCTTGTGTAGGGGGGCGGAACTGTGGCACTTGGGGAACAGCACCTGCTCTCAACGTTGTCTCCAGTTGCTGTATCATAGGCACTGCATGAAAAAATAATAATAATAATCAATTAAATTAAGCAGTTGCTCAAATAAGGTTTCTAATACAATCCGCTTCACTCGTTCAATATCATATCTAGCCTAAGAGAAACTTCGATTCAGACACAAACCCACATATTCATAAAGAAACTATAAAAGACATTAAAGAACAGAATTCATTTTCAAGCTTACAGGTGCTCTAAAATTTTGCAGACAAAAATTCAGCAAGAGTCCCATTTCTCAAGTGACTTGCACCAAAAGAACAACACTTCCAAAATAGGAACCACGATGAACATGATGCATTTCAATTAATAAGCTCAAAGAAATCTAAAGATAATTGCCTTTGGAAAAACTTGGGAGGTTTTGGACAAGAAAACTTACATATCATAGCACCCATTGGACTGCTCATAACTTCATTGGGGAGGTTCAAGATATAGTCCGGAATAGTTGCACCCACCAAAAATTGAGCAACCTCATTGCTGAAATTGTTGCAATTGTGAGTGAGCAAACTGTAAGTTTCTGCAGCGTACCGGGGACTGATATCCTGCAAATACATTTCAAAAACTTCCTGGGGCACATGCGTGACACCAAGATCTACCACTCTCATTGGGGTTCCATATGGCGTTGTTCCAGCAGGAGAATGCTGTATACCACCACCAAAATAATATTCATTACCATAAACTACTACTCCTGTGTGCCTGTCATTCAAAGACGTAAAACAAACCATTAACTTTCAAAACCAGAAATATGCAACAGCATAATTCTAATTGGACAATGTTAGTAGGCCCCCTCTTGTGTAACCGGTTAATCAAACTGACAGGCTGGCCTATTTAGTGCTCCCAAAACGGCTTCCCACATATTCCCCCAACCTCTATTAGATGAGGACAAAAAAACAACATTTTTTTTAGTATAAAATAAATATCCATACAGAATGATGTAGTTGTTTGTGGTTCTTCCATTTCAAACCAAAACACCCATCATTATTTGACAGATTTTAGGTGCAAGAGTTTTGATTGTGAAACATTTTCATAATAATAATAATAATATATCAGCCACTAATTAGCATTGTGAATCGCATTCATTGTGGAATTGGATGAATCACTGGAAAGAACCTATTTCAAGCTTTATGGAGTATATTTGCTGAATCAATTTTTCTTGAAAGTATTGACCTCCAAGACAATGTCACCACTCACATTCACTTATTTCCAATTCATAATTACCTCCAACAAATAAAATACTTACCATATCGCTTCAATAGCTTTTCCCAAAAAAGTTGTGGAGAGCTGGCGAGCCAATCCTTGGCTCAAGTCATACACATTCAGGGAAACCTTGTGACCCTCCTGCCATCAAACAGTTGTCCAAAGAAACAACATAAAATTGAAAACACCAGGCGCATTAGGATAAACCTGGAACAGTAGGTAACACATAATTAACAATCAAAAGCATTAAAATAAAATTTCCATTACCTCTTCCATCTCCACAGGCTTCACTAGTTAAAAAAATAACCCAAATGGAATTTTTTACGTCGTTGAACAAGACCTATGTAAATCACCAATAAATCAGCAATTCAGTAGCATACCAGAAAAAGCAAATAAGTAATGGCAACCATGTAAAAAAAAGTCAGAACATGCAAATAAATGTCTTACAATAATAAGTAATACAGACTGTGCACCAAAAACCTTTCGCTCAATTTTACAAATTTACGTCGTTGAACAAGATAACCTATGTAAATCACCAATAAATCAGCAATTCAGTAGCATACCAGAAAAAGCAAATAAGTAATGGCAACCATGTAAAAAAAAGTCAGAACATGCAAATAAATGTCTTACAATAATAAGTAATACAGACTGTGCACCAAAAACCTTTCGCTCAATTTTACAAACGACATGACCATCTTATTTATTTATTTAGGTTAAAAGCATCCATAAGGAAATATCAATAATCATACATATAATTCTCAATATTTTGAACATTGAACTAAAGAAAAATTACAGAAGATTAAGGGCCAAAAAACTTCAGTTACATGTGCTCCTTTATCCATTCAGTTATGAGCACTTGAAAAAAACAACATATTCAAGTAATAAGTGCTTAGTAATAGCTCCACTGAAATCAAAGACTACTTGGACCCAATAAAAAATTTCAAAAAAAGATAAGACATGAATATGAAACCCAATAGCGATGTGCAATCAGCTATCGTATTCGGCCACGCATGCATTTTCCATTATTATGTGCAATAAACCCATAAGTATGGGATGGGTGCAAAAACTTGCAAAGAGAAAAATGATTCATATTCGATCCAAAAAACTCCACAGCTTTGAAAACAATCAAGCAAAACAAAACTTTCCATTTTCTAGACAACACAACACTAACACTCCACAGCTTATATACAATCAAGCAAAATGAAACACTCAATTGCCAGACATTAACTGTAGTAACATGAAGAGGGAAAATAGTTTGTTTTGATGAAAAATATTTTTGACAAAAATATTTTAGTCATTTTCTGTTATTTAGTTGAACAGAAAGCAAGTAAAACATTTTTTAAAGAAATATCATTTTCTCACAAGTGATTTAATTTTAAAAATTCTATAAGGCAATTTTTATAAAATTGACTCTTACTACTTTTTCAACACATTCAGCTTTTTAAAATAAGTATCTTAGCTCAATAAAAAGTCATAAATAACACTTTATTAATCAAAATTTCTCTTTTTATAGATAAGATACTTTTGTTTCAAATGTCAACCAAACGCCAAAACAAAAACAAAATTATTTTTTGTTTATGTAAAATCAATTTACAAAGAAAAATATTTTTTGTGTAATATTTTACATCGAAACAAGCGGAGCCTAAAACCAAGATAACAAAATAAAAATTGTTACAAAGCTCCATAAATGGCTTGCAGTCTCACAGTCCCCACGTTCAAACTCCCAAAATCCTAAATTTTCCCTAACCAACATAGAACAAAATCAAAGATCTGTCTCACAATCCCCACATTCAAACTCCCAAAATGCTAACTTTTCACTCAATTGAAGATTATTCAAGATCTCGAAACATAATTAGTTCCACGTAACCATCATAGGTTCTGTATAAGTCATATCCTCAGCTTCTCTGCCCAACACTCTCAAAATCTCAAATCCAATAGACAAAATATAATTAACAGATTCTTAAAAAAACCTAACATTTCATTTTTCAATTGTACCAAGGCCCGAACCTTCTCAAAACACAAATAAACGAATATCGTATACAGAATGCATACACACTCACCAAATCAAAACTACATTCATACACATCAAAACAAAAATTCATCCAAATCTCACAGATCAAACACAAAACCCTAAACTTGGCGCCCAAATCATCAATTTCAATGGAATTTCGGCACATATATACAAAATTTCTTTTTTTTTTTAAAAAAGGTACAAATACAGAAAAGATATACATATAAATGTGGATATGTAGAAGAAGACAATGGAGATTGGAGAGGGAATGTACCTGATTGAGGAGGAGAAGGAGCGAGAGAGCAATCGATGTTGCGTCAAAGAACAGAGCTTTGGAGAGGGACCGAGAGAAAGGGTGGAATGCGCCTTTTATAGTCGAACAAATGGTAAAAGCAAAGGGGTGGACCGAGTACCTCTCGGAGTTTCGATTCGCATTCTATGACCTTCTAGAAATTACTGGCTTCTTTGACGCGCAATGTTCGTTTTTGGACCTTTTCTGTTTTTTGTAATAACAAATTGGGAAAAAGCACCAATAAGTTTTAAATTTGAAAATGTTAATCTATTAAGTTTTGAAGGGTTTTTGTTGGACTAATAGGTCTAATTTCTTTAAAAGTTTATTATAAGCCTTTTTTTGTTAAATATTATTCATCAAACATTAAATATTAGTAACGTCAGAATTATTTATCAAACATCAAACATTAGCAACGTCATGATTATTCGTATAATGTCAGTGAAAACATTAGCAACGTTAGAATTATTCATCCAACATCAAGCATTATCAACGTCAGGATTATTCATCAAACATCAACCATTAAACATTAAGATTATCCATCAAACATCAAACATTATTCATCAAACATCAAACCCAACCATTAAACATTAGGATTATTCATCAACCATCAAACATTATTCATCAAACATCAAATTGGCCTCTCAAAACAAAAAAACAAAAAAAAACAAACAAAAAATCATCATAACTTCTTTGATAATCCATTATAGTATACATCATCTCAGATTCAAATTCTGATTCAATTTTCCAATCGAAAACCTTTGACTTCAATTCAATTCTCATTTCAAATCCATTTCCTTTTCATTCACCTTCAACAATTTCAATTCCAAATCTCTATCTCTTCGATTCCTAGGGTTTCGTCTATGCCGATCAATTTGACTCTGAACGCGATTCCGACAATAAACGTCGCAAGGCAGACTTCGATCACTACCGACTTGGCATCGCGATCCAAAACCCAGATTCGATGATGTTCAATGTTAGAACAAACCACGAAAGCAGCGCAGTCGCTGTCGTCTGCGACGGTTACGGAGTAGGAGCTAATGGTGCGATGGATGGATCGCCGCCTAGGGTTTCATGATCTGAGAGAAGAACATACCGTTGAAGGCGATGCCGGAGGTAGCGATGACGCAGGTTTGAATGACGGTGTTCTCTTGGCGAGTGAAAGACTGTTTGAGGAGTCCAGACTTGTCCAGAAACTTGGTCCATGTCTTGACGAAGAAGGATCCCAAGAGCCCCGCAGAGACATTGAGAGAAGGTATAAAACTTGGTCCATGTCTTGTGATGTTTGATGTTATTTTGATGATGATGTTTGATGTTGTTTTGATGATGATGTTGTGATGTAAAAAATGGACTAAATGGTTTATAAAAAAAATTCAGGACTAGATAGAGTAACATTTTCCAATATGGGACTCAAGAGTAATTTTTCCTAACAAATTTTCATTCTCATTTTTTTTTTAATTATTATTTTACAATTCATTTTTTGTAATCATTTTTTTTATTTTTTATGGAAAATATTTGTAAAAAAATAAAGATAATGAATTGACTTTTTATTATTTATTATTATTATTATTATTATTATTATTATTATTATTGAGTATTTAGCTAATTATTAGAGTACCTCTAACAGACCGCTAATTTTTTCATTCAAATTTATTTTAAATTTGAGTGTTATTTTAACAACACGCTAAAGTAGTTTTTTTTTTTAAATTCTAAAAAAAACAAAATTAACCCTTTTATCTAATTTTCTCCACTTTTTTTTTGAAAAAAATTGAAAAATTAACTAAAATAACTAATTCTCAAAATAACATTAAAAAACTTGATTTGATATCAACATTACTCCAAGCTTTACATTAAATTTCATCAAAACATTTTTACAAATTCTTTTGTTTTCTCAAATTTCTGTTTCATCAAATTTGATAAAATAAAAAATAAAAAATAAAAAAAGGTCATTTCAAATGCTTCATTTTTTAAAAATTTTTATCAAATTTGAAATATTTGATGAGTTTTCAATTTGATGAAAAATATGTCTCTCCCTTTATTCGATGAATAATTGATGAAATGATTCAAAATGATTTTTAAATTTATTTTTATCAAATTTAAATTTAATGAAAGAAAAGTGAAGGTTTAGAGATACATTTATAAATTAGTTTTTATAATTACAGTTGTTTGTTTTTAAAAATATACTTATCATTTATTTTTCTAAGACAAATGTCATAAATTGAATAAATTGTAAGAGGGTGTTTGAGATGATGTAAATAAATATATTTTTTGATTTAATACAAAAATATGTACGAAAAATAGAGAGATTATATGACTCGAAAAGATGAAAAGATAAAAAAAAATACCACTTTTGTAGAGGATGTCGAATATTGCCTAATTATCATATTAACTTAATTTTTTTTATTTGAATAATATATATAAAAAAAAGGGTAAATTACATTTACCTCCCTTGAGGTTTCTGACAAATACAAGGACCTCCCCTGTGGTTTGAATAATTACAGTAATCTCCCCTACTTTACCTGATAATATAAAGATTTCCTCCTGCTGTCAAAAATCACTAAACGGTGTTACTTTTTTCTTAGAAAATTACCTTATTGCCCTTCCCTTGAAAATATTAAAAAATGTTTTTGAATTGGAGGATAGGTTTGGAATGTTTGGAACAGTATTTTTGGATTTATTTTTTAAAAATATTAAAAAATGTTTTTTTTACAAATATTTTTAATTTAAATATATAATTTTTATTTAAATATTTTATTTTATTTTACTCTATAACTTGGGATTTAGAATTAAATTTTTTAGTGACTATAATTAATACGTTTGAGAAGTCAGAAAAGAAGTAAAAACAAAATTGATGTAACATCCAGAGTAAACTACCGATAGGATTTTATTGTTGGACTTAATTATCATTAAGTTCTATTGAAAATAAGTTCTAATAAAATCATCGATAAAAATGATTTGTTGAGACATTTTTTGCATATGTCGCTAAAAATTAACAATTAATATTTTGTCATGATTTTTATAAATTGTCACTAAAACTTATAATTAGTAACGTTTTTGTGACGAATTTTTGAAACTGCAACTGAAAGTTAAAAATTAGTGACGTTTTTTTGTGACGATTTTTTAAACTATCGCTAAAACTTATAATTAGTGACATTTTCTTTGGCAAAATTTTCAAAATGTTCTTGAAAATTAACAATAATAACTTTTTTAATAGTATTTTATGAAAAAAAAACTATTAATTATCATAACACCTATTAAATGATAAGTTTACCTATTAAGGCTGGCACATAAATCCCCCAAACATTTAACTCTTGTAACGGATGACAAATGATGTCATGACTTTTTTATTTTTTAAACAAAAATTGACTTTTTTGGAAAGTTTCCAAATGGCTAAATTTATATAAGAAATTAAGGATCTGTTTGATTTAGTTTTAGAATAATGATTTGAGTATGCAGTTGTTTTTAAGCTTTGAATTTTTTAATCTTGATTTGAAAAAAAAAAAAAATTGTTTGGTTATAAATTTTGAAATTTTTTGAATTTATTTTTTTAGGATATATATTTATATTTTAAATATTTATTTATTTATTTTAATGTGCATTATATTTCATACATCTATGTGTTGTATTTTTTTTTAATATTTTAAATATATTTTTTAAATATTAAAAAATTTTAAAATTTTTATTTTTATTTTAAATATATAGTTTTTATTTTAAATATTTTATTTTATTTTATAAATATATTTTTAAGTATTTTATTTTTTTGTTATGCGTTTGGTTACGATTTGAATGTAGAGTTTTGAAAGTAGTGTGGAGTGTTGAGTTATGTGTTTGGTTATGAGGTTTGAAAATAATTTTTAAATTGAGTTTTGAGTTATGTGTTTGGTTACCATTTGAGTGTGAAATTGTGTTTTGAGTTTAAAATATTAAAATTAAAAAATAAAATATTTACAAAATAAAATAAAATATTTAAATAAAAATTATATATTTATAATAAAAAATATATATTTTTTAAAACAGTTTTTAATATTTTTAAAAAATAAATCCAAAAATACCGCTCCAAACACTCTAAACCTATCCTCCAATCAAAAAATATTTTTTAATATTTTTAAAGGCAAGGGAAATAAAGTAATTTCCGAAGGAAAAAGTAACACCGTTTAGTGATTTTTTACAGCAGGGGAATCTTGATATTGTCAGGTAAAGTAAGAGAGGTTACTGTAATTATTCAAACCACAGAAGAGGTCCTTGTATTTGTCAGAAACTGCAAGGGAGGTAAATGTAATTTACCCAAAAAAATATAAAACTAATTATCAAAATAAGATATGAACCTCTAATTCGCCCTTCAGCGACTATTAGGCTACTGTAGTCATGTTCATAATTACTCCAAACACATTCACATGTCGAGTCTAATGCATTGACGTGGTGAACAAGCTACTTCGTCACATTGTTTTTAAAATTAATTTTTTAATTTTTTATGAAAAATATGTATAAAAAAAATTTAATAAATTATATTTTTTTGTAGTAACTTTTTAAAATTTTAAGTTGACAAAACAACCCTAAGTTTAATTTATGTATAAAAAAAAATTTAATAAATTATATTTTTTTGTAGTAACTTTTTAAAATTTTAAGTTGACAAAACAACCCTAAGTTTAATTTTTAGATCATTGTTATTTTTTGTATATTTTCCTCTTATTGATTGTAAAAAATAATAATAATAACTATATCTGAAGTTATTGTTTTGCATGCAAAACAATAACTTAAAAATAATTTTATTCTTAAATTTTTAATTTTATTTTACAAGCTAAAAGTATTTAATGAAATGTTTTATTTTATAATTTTTTTTTTTAGTTTTGATAATATTGTTTTATTTTTTATATCAAACTAATGATTTGAGACCGAGGAAAATACAATTCACAATTATGAAAACACAGATACATTTGCATATACACAAATAGAAAGAAACAAAATCAGTAATCGTACAACACCAAAAGCAACTAAAAGTCATTGACTTTTAATTTACATAAATAATATAAGGTAATGACTCGTGACACCGCTTAATGATTTGCCCACAATTCACAACCCATAACTGCTTATAGCACATGAAAAGTGATGTGGCAGTCGGTCTTATCTACTGTCACATGTATTTTGTGTCTTAGGCCTTGTTTGGAGACTTACTATTTTAATCAAAAAGTCAAAAAGTTATATTTTTAGTCAAAAAACCAACAACCTATACAAAAAAGTCAAAGATTCTCTTTTCTCTCTACTTTTTGCATATCTTTTCGTAATTAGCCAAAAAGTCATCCCAAACATATAAGTTTTTTTTACCTACTTTTTTAGCCAAATAGCCAAAAAGTTACTAAATTAGCATGTTTCCAAACGAGGCCTTAGTTTTTGATTTTTTTTTTTTACTTGTCACATCATTAGTGATGGTGTTAGTGGTAAAAATGGTCTGTAGCGTTGTTGTATAGCACATATGTTCTGTTTGGAGTTAAATTTATTTTTTATTAAAATATGAGATTAAAAAAATAATATATTTGAGAATGATTTTTTAATTTATATATATATAAAATAATAGGAATAATAAAGTTTTTTTGTTTTTTTAGTATGAGTTCAATTTTTTAAAAACATTTGTAGTAACTTTTAGTTAAAATAGTCATTTGTCAAATGGCATATTGCAAATTTTGAATTTCTATCAACTAATTGCAAATTTTGAAAAAAATTGTTGGACATTTTTATTAAATACCAAAATTAATTTCAATTCTTGCAAACCATAACCCTACTTTTACGTCAAATCATTACCTAAGGATTTGTTTAGGGCGTGGGTTGATTTTTTAATTTTTTAGTTATTTTAGTTTTGAGCTAAAAAAACCTCGTTTGGAATATATTTTTTTAGAATTTTTAACTTTAATGAGAGAAAAAATAAAATAATTATAAATTAAATGTGACATTTTATCTTATTTAATTAAAATAACCTGTTCACCTTCTACTATCACCCATCAATTTCCTGCATCTTTGTTTTTCAATGTCTTCACTTTCTATTTCTCACTTCACAAATCTGTTTTTTCTTATTTTTTGTTATTTCAAAATTATAGCTCTATAAATCACGCGAGAGAGTCACAAATAGAAAATACAAAGGTTATATTTGTTTGAACGGATTGGATAAAGAAAAATTATAATTCATCGGATTGTTAATCTTATGATACATAGTCTTTAAGTTATTTGGTTAGAAAAGATATGTATCCTATATTTGTTTAGTCATGAAATTAGATGTATGAAAATAACTATTCCATTAAATCCTAAATTTGTTTAAGATATTATGAAAAATTATAAATATTTAAAAGACAATTTTCCTATTTTAAGTTGTTTACTGAATAATAGCAATATTAAACTTGTCTTTAATATTTTTATTTTTTTGTGCTAGATTAAATAAAAATTTATTTTATTTTATTTTTAAATTAAATAAATTTATTTTTAAAAATTAAAAAAATAAAATATCAATAAATATTGTGTTGTTTTTTTAAAATAAATTTACTTTAAAGGGAAAATTAGTCTAAAGTCCCTCTTCTATTTTTAATAATGGAAGATGTCCACAATATTATTTTTTGATATCTAAGGTCCCTCCCATCTATCACAGAGAAATTCAGCCCCCTTCCTTTTGTCTACTCTCACTCATCACCACAATCAAACACGCACACACAGAGAGTTCACTACACACAGACATGTACATACATACAAAGAGAGAAACCCAGAGCTTTCTAGAGAGAGAAAATGAAGATGATCGGAAAAACAGTCCTTTCTCTCATACTCATCCTCATCATCTTCATCACCTACTCTATTTATATCGGAACCGTTGATGTCATATCACACTTCTTTTCCCGGTTGAGGAGCGACGATCCAGAGGCGTTGCTGTCGCTGGAGAGATTTAACAGAAGGTAAAAAATGGCCGGAAATGGCTCGACTGACAATGGTGGCGAGCTCGATGTTCATGAGGTCGTCGAGGGCTGGGATGTTCTCGTCGAGCTGGCTAAGAAGCGGCGATCCAGAGGCGTTGCTGTCGCCGGAGAGATTTACCAGAAGGTAAAAAATGGTCAGAAATGGCTTGACTCACAACGGCGGAGAGATTGATGAATCAAACATGCGTTGCTGCCAAACATAAACATGGCTCGACTGCCAACCAATTCAAGAGAGAAAGGGAGAGAGATTGTTTCCAGGTGATGGCATTGGCCCTGAAGTCATCTCCGTTGCCAATAACGTCCTCCAGCTCACTGGCTCTCTTGAAGGTAAACCCTTGTCTAAAAAATCCCAACTTGATTTCTTGTTCGGTTGGTGAGAAAATATAGAAGAAAGATAGGAAAATAACTGATTTATTAATTTCAATTTCTTGGTGGACTAAATGTTGTTCTAAAGGTCATCAACAGTGAAGAGTTTATGCTTAAAAATTTTCTTACTTATTTCACAAACCAAACAGAGTTGTTATTTTATTTCAGTGTTCTTGACCAAAATATACACATATCTCAGTGGCCAAACAGGTTCTTATATATACATCAAACTGGTTCTTATATACACATCAAACTAGTGTTTGACCAAATAGGTTCTTATATACACATGCATATCAAACTGGTTCTTATATACACATCAAACCTAGAGAAAATTCAAATTTCTCTGGGTTTTCTGGGTTCATTTTGACCAATTTTCTCTGGATTTTTAAATTTCTCTGGATTCATTGTGATCAATTGAAAACCGGTGAAGTCAAAGAAATTTTCAAATTTCTCTAGAGTGTTGAGTCTAGAAGAGGCAGGGAAAACAGAGAAATTTAAAATTTCTCTAGAGATTTAATTTTGTGGAAAGACAGAGAAATTTCTCTGGGAGAGTGGGAAGTATATGGAAGGTAGAGAAATTTGGAGAAGGTGAGAGCAGAGAAATTTACAGTGGAAAATTTCTCTGTGACGTGAATTTTCTCTAGACCAATTTTTTCTGGATCAACTTGAGGGATCTTAGACATTATGAAAATATTGAGTGTCCTTTATACTGTAAAATCATAATGCCAGTGACCTTAAAAGAAAAACCTACTTTAAAAGATAATAATAATTAAATAAAACATCAAAAAAAATTTAAATAATGAAATTAAAAAATATCAATAAAATTTTAAAATAAAACATCTAAAAAAATTTATTTTAAAAAAATTAAATAAATAAAACATGAATAAAAATTAAATAATTTTATTTTTAAATTGAGACATTTAAAATTTATTAAATATAATACATAATTAAATCAAATACTTTGAAGACAAATATGTCATTTTATCATTTAATCCTAGGAGATAATTATCCCATCAATTAGAATACAATAATTTCACAAATGTAAGATTGATAGTCCAACCGAAATCTTGATCCGCCTTACCAATTTACAACCAAACAATAGCCTATATGATCCAATGGATATGACACCTATGTTGTGTTTGGTTAGGGGATTTGAGGAGGGAATTGGAAAAAGAAATGAAAAAGATTGGTGAAATGTGAATAAAACATATCTATATTTTACATAGTTTCACACACTTTTTTCCTTTTCCGTTTCCCTTTCCAAATTTCTCCATAAATCCTCAAACCAAACACTCAAACCAAACACTACACTAATCTCTCTCTTTCAATCCCTCCAAACAAAAACACTCATAAGAGAAAATCGCAAGGGTTGGGATAGGGACAGAATGGGGTTGGCAGTGATGTGGGGTTGCAGGGGTGGAGGACTGAGCGAGAGAGGACGAGGATAGTGACATTTCAAGAGTTATTGTGGAGGTTCATGTAATTATCAAACTTGCAAGGAAAATCAGGTAATTTTAAGCCGATTAAAATATAAAATGGTCCTGGTTGCAGCCCTACTGGTTAAAGATCGAGCACGTTGCACCTTCGCTGGCCTCCACGCCAAGCCCCGCACGCGTTCGGCGGACGATACACGCGACCTACCGTTCGCTTCAGTGAAGTCGTTCGACATTTAATGCGTATACGTAATCATCCGAACCACGATGACGAACCAACTAACTGTCGAACGCTTCTTACCCGAACCTAAAACCGAGCCAACAAATTTAACATGTATGCAGGGACAGGTACTTGTTTTCCGAACCTCAGGTTTTCGGACCTTCTGACAATCTTCCCTGTTAAGTTCGCCCTCGCCGTGCCTACTGTTATCTCTCTCTCTCTCCTCGCTTTATCTCTCTACGCTTTTATCGGTTGAAGCTGGGGCTTAGGTCAGTCAGAATCCACAATTTTCTCGGGAATTGTTTAATTTTCTTGGCTGGTGTTTATAGGAATTATGTTTTCAGATGTACTACTGCATATACACATATAGGCTTGAATATTTGGGATCGCGATCGGTTTATAAACTATGATTATCTGTACTGTTGACTGTGAAGGTGTTTTTATTTAAGTTCAATTTATAATCTACGAACTTCAAGTGAAGAATCAAAGTTTTCACGAGTTAAAACCATGATGACTGTGAAGGTGTTTTTATTTAAGTTCAATTTATAATCTACGAACTTCAAGTGAAGAATCAAAGTTTTCACGAGTTAAAACCATGATAATTCGAACTCTTTTGACGTGCTATATGTATTCGTGAATCCAGATCGCTATCACATTGAAGGTTTTTTTTTTTTTTTCAATCTTGTAATAATTATGACGGGGAGTTTGTTCTCGCTTCTGAATTTTGTTAATTTTGTTTGAAGTGAACTTCAAGTGAAGAATCAAAGTTTTCACGAGTTAAAACCATGATAAATTCGAACTCTTTTGACGTGCTATATGTATTCGTGAATCCAGATCGCTATCACATTGAAGGTTTTTTTTTTTTTTTTCAATCTTGTAATAATTATGACGGGGAGTTTGTTCTCGCTTCTGAATTTTGTTAATTTTGTTTGAAGTAGGGTTTGTGACGTGGAGATCTTGTTTGGATCGGCAATGCAGGCCTTGATCTATTGGACTGGTATGTATTGAGTTTAATTTTGATGAGTGCAGTTTGAATTATCTTATTTTACTACGAGGACTTGCTATCTAAGTGATTTGATTTATTATTGGATAGATTGAATTGCTTTTTAACAGAGATCTGAATCTGTAGGACTTGATTGGGGACAAGCATAGTGATTGGTTTCTAGCTTTGTAATTGTTGGTGATTGCACCAAATCATGGCGCAGAGTAATTGGGAAGCTGATAAGATGTACGTTTGATTTTGACTTGTTTCCTTTTATCAGCTTCACTTCACTCCATTTGCAGGAAAAAGAAAGAAAATTGAATCTTTTTTAATTCAATGCTATACCCTGTTTTTGTTTAAGCAAAGCATGGGAATTGGTTACTAGATTCTAAGGAATTGGGGGTGGGGGACTTGCTCTGGATCCACATAGCATTGTCTTACTATAATTAGCTTAAATTTGTTGATCGATCTTCTGTTTCTTTGGCTCTTTTGTTCCAGGCTTGATGTTTACATTCATGACTATTTGTTGAAAAGAAAATTGCATAATTCTGCAAAAGCTTTCATGACTGAAGGGAAAGTCGCCACTGATCCAGTAGGTAATATTTGTGACTAATTGTTGACATCTTATGTTTTAATGCTATTTTATATAGTCTATTAGTAGGTTTTACTGAGTTCTGATGTAAGTTTACTGGTAATTTATCCATAGAACATTGCTATTGTTCCAATATTTGATTAAAATTGTTTAAATAAATCTGAAAATTTAAGCTTGCAACTCTGCGAGTCATCTGGGTAGTAAGTCAGAATTTGAATTTGCAGCTATTGATGCACCTGGGGGATTTCTTTTCGAATGGTGGTCTGTCTTTTGGGATATATTCATTGCAAGAACAAATGAGAAACATTCTGAACCTGCAGCAGCTTACATAGAGGTGTTTTTGAATTTCTCTCTTTTTCGCTCTTACTAGTTGAATCCTGATTTGAATTATATTTTTGCAGAATTCAGTTGACATATTTTCCTTTATTTTTCTTGAAATGAAAATCAGACACAACAAATGAAAGCAAGAGAGCACCAACAACTGCAAATGCAGCAGTTGCAACTCCTCCAACAGCGTAATGCTCAGTTGCAACGAAGGGACCCTAATCATCCTCCGCTTGGTGGTCCTATCAATGCTATGAACTCCGAAGGAATGATGGGCCAGCCATCAGCCAGTGTTTTGGCTATGAAAATGTATGAAGAACGAATGAAACACCCGCATTCAATGGATTCAGAGACTTCTCCAGCTATTATTGATGCCAATAGGATGGCCCTTCTCAAGTCAGCAACCAATCATCAAGGGTGGGTTAGTTTTTAGGAGTTATTTACTTGAACACAATTTTTTTTACTTGCACCTTTTACCTAGTTTGAGGTCATTCATTCTCTTGTTCCTTTGATTGATTCAGCCAGTTGGCACAAGGCAATTCTGGCTTGTCTGTGGGTTTGCAGCAAATTCAGGGACGAACTCCACTGACCACTGTAACTACGTTGACAGTACTCTTTCAGTTGCACTTTGTGAATTGTCCCTATATAATCAAGCATTTCACCATGCTCAGGCTGTTTATCCTTTTGAAATTTGTAGGACATCAAACAAGAAGTTAATTTGGGCACACCTCAGAAGTCTTTGCCAATGGATCCTTCATCGATATATGGACAAGCAATTTTACAACCAAAGTCTGGACTTGGTGGTGCAGGTACAATATCAAATCCTTCAGAATGAAGTAATTATAGTATATAAGCATACAGTTATTCGTAATTGATAATATATGGATGTAGTTTTTTCTTTTCTTTTTTAGTGTGTGATGGGCATGTTACTTATCAAAAAATAAAAGTTTGTTAAGGGCATGTTGATTTGTGTACAAGTTTCTTTTTTTCCTCCTTCCAATTTCCTTAATGAAATTGCAAAACTTCTGGAACAGAATATCTTAGTAGAGTGATATTTTTGTTGCAAAAAAATGGAATTATATTGGTTCTATATTTGCTTTTCAAATAGTTCTAGTCAGCTGGCTATGCATTTTAGGCTAACTATAATAGAAATTGACTTACTATGGATGCTTTGTTTGGAAGTTCACCCCTTCTTAACTAGCATTCTTCTTAGTCCTCAGATTTTACTAATTACCATAAATTGATAAAATGCCACCGATGCCAATCAATTTCGTTACATACACAATTAAATGGGAAACTTGAGAACTTGATGGATCCTAGACAAGGTGTCTACAAATGTCACATTGCAAATAAAATTAAGTATGACAGCGAGTTAAAGCATATTGGAACTCATTTATCAAAAGTAGAGCAATGATACTGGACATTAGGAGCATTTGCTCCTTAGGACCCATACAGATGGCCTAGGTATTGTACTGTACATTAGGAGCTCTTGCACATTAGGACCCATAGAGATGGCCTAGGGACTGGACATTAGGAGCACTTGTGCCTTGGACGTGGCTTAACATGAACACAAACCGGCACACTCTCACACGCATGAGAGAGAGAGAGAGAGAGTACTTCTGCCTGAATGGGCATAAAGAAAAAACTAGACATGAATCATGATGATTGACTTTATGTAACAGGGAAAGATACTTCTCATGAGATAACTAAATTACCTTTTGTAATGAGAACCTCCTTTCCAATTGTAACAATACTCAAAAGGATGGCTCAAGCATTCTGGGTCTTGCCATGATGATTCGCATGCAAGAAATGTTGATCTTGTTCAATGTGAACTGCCTCCTTTAGTTATACAACTGGAGCTTGGAAAGCTGAATGACATACACATGGAAAGAATGGCGGAGGCAAAAATGCAGTTGTTTGTGACATTCCTGAGAGAATGGCATGTTGCACTTGAGCACCTATACCATTACCATTTATTAAATGCAGGGAGCTGGTTTGTTTTCTCTTTTGATTATTATGGTACACGATATTATTAAAAGCTAGGTGCTAATACAGAGGTTGGGTAATAAGCTTTTGGAGCAACAAGGATACAAAGAGAAGAACAAGAAAGAACAAAAAAGGAACTGCTTTGTAAAATGCAAAGCTCATAATAAAAGGAAGTAAAGGGGGAAAAAGTAAGAGGAATTGTCACTTCCAAGTCAAGTGCTTAGAACTTGAAAACCATCTTTCTCTGTGTTTAGGAGTCTGCTGCCTATCAGGTTTCAGGTCGTCAAACTAAAGAAGGCTGATTGTAAGCAAAAATTAATGAAAGGGGGGGATCAGTAATATTCAATGAAAGTCGAATCCTAAGGCCCTTGCAATGTGTATTTGTTTCGCTTGTTTATAGAGAAACAGCTTGAAGTGATTGCTTCACGCCATGAAATTCTTCATAACCAATGAATTTGGAACAACAACAGAAAATGATTTAATACTGACATCATAACCAATGATGAGCTTCAACAAGATCTGGGAATAAGCAGTAGAATTACTGGTTCCTGCTTCTTAACATGATTATGTAAGTTGGTAACAAAATGAACTTTAAACACCTCTGATACCTAACCAACCCATAGTATCTGGAAAGCTTTCATCACAACTGAATTCTCCACAAGCCAAGGTGGAGTGAAAAAGTGAATCCCTTCTTATAGAGTCAACACAGATATTATTAAACTTGAAATTCGTGTTGAAGTCACATTAAAAGTTATTCTACTCAAGTACGAGTCAAAAAAGACTTACTCTTCTTTGGAATGCTATCTTCCACCTTGCCTGCAGAGATAATAACTTTTTAGTTCATTTTAATATTTTCCCAGTTAGGTTAAAATTGTCAGCCATGTCATTCAGCTGAATTTAATTAGAAATCAACGGGTGGATCATCTGCTTTATATTAAATAGTCCTCATAATTTCCATTTTCTCAGGATTAAATCAAGGTGTCACTGGTCTTCCATTGAAGGGTTGGCCTCTAACTGTGAGTTATGCAGGACCTTTTCTATTTTAGATATTCTTGGTAAGTTCAGTTTGGTAATGCATTTGTGTTTGACTATTATCCCTGACACGTTATCCAGGGGATTGACCAGTTACGACCAAGTTTAGGTTTACAAGTACAAAAGCCCAATCTACAGACCCAAAACCAGTTTCTTTTGGCATCACCGCAACAGCAGGTCTTAGCACAAGGCAACCTTGGAAGTTCACCTAACTTTGGTTTTTCTGGTTTGCCAAGGGGTAGCTTGAACGTTAAAGATGGTCAACCCACAAGAAATGATGGATCTATATGCTCTCCCGCACAATCAAATTCACCGAAGGTTAGAATATCTTCTTGAGATTACTAAAGAATTTTTTTGCCAGGTTGTCATTTTGAAGCGCACACACACATGCAAAGTGGACAGATGGGATATTACATTCGTACATTGGAGATCTTTAAAAGATTTTTTGCTTCGTTATCTCTTCTACACTTGTATTTATTATCATGCACAATCTGCACTTGGAGAATGTTGTCTGTACTGTTACCAAAAAAAAAAGGGGGGAAGAGAATGTGATTTTCCATTGCTTTGCATTTTTGTAGTTTTTGGCAATAGGCACTGTAGACTGTATATGATAGAACAAAAAGAACTTATGTATTTGAGAGTATTTTTCAGTATGTATTTTTGTGGGGCTTCAGAAGAGATTGGGTTAATACATTATTGAGCTCATGTTTCCTTGGTCTTAGCCTTTCAAAGCCTACGTCAATGCATCTTCTTGTCTATTTAGGATATAGGAACTGTATATCTTTTTATTTGATTGGATCTAAATTTATCTAGGTTTGGCTAGTCTTTATTTTATTTTTATATTTTTCTTCTGACCAGCACAGCTTTTTACCAATACTAGCTGGACATGTGAAATGGTTAAAACTTTCTGTAGCGATACTTGTAAAATATTCAAACCAATTTCATCATAATTAGCTGTTTTTATTTTTTCCGTAACTGTCAAAAAGATAGGAAACAGGTTTCAAGTGTATCTATAGTTCAAACCTTTTTTTTTTTTTTGTAAATGCAGAGATATCTTCTAAAATGAGTTATAAGCACTTCCATCTATCTCTTCCTTTATTATTTCTATGAACACATACGGGATAGCCTTCATTCATTGCCACTGATACTGCATATGGCCTTTTGTTACTTTGGTATTATTTGGTGATTGGGGACATTATTTTAATTTTGAAGGTATGTAAATGCCTTCATCTGATTCTTTAGTGGATATTTAACAGATGAAGATGGCTCAGATGCAACAGTCTTCTTCTCAACAACAGGATCAGATGCAGCAGCAGCAACTGCAACAGGTAGTACTTGTTCATGCAAATTTAATTAGTGGAAGTCTTTTAAGGGTTTGAATGGTTGACGTCCATTAATATATGATGTTTGCAATGACAACTCAATTTCTTTTGCCATTTTTTCTTTCTTTCTTTCTTTGTGTTTAAACTGATAAGTATTCAACGGCTGTTTATCATGACATAGAATAATCGAAAAAGGAAACAACACTCTTCTTCTGGACCTGCCAACAGCACAGGTACAGGAAATACAGTTGGCCCCTCACCAAACTCTCCACCATCAACTCACACACCGGGTGATGGAATTACTACCGCAACTAGTCTGCAGCATGTCAACAGTGTGTCAAAAAGCTTGATGATGTATGGGTCAGACGGAGCAGGAGGTCTTGCGTCGTCTACAAATCAGTTGGTATGCCCGTTTAAGTTTTCACATATACATAGTGCTTTTTTCTCAAACTAGCATCATATGCATGGTGAACTGTAATTTGTTTTCTCCTTGGATGTCTAATATCCATGGTATATTTTGATCTGTTGATTTTGTGCATTCTTCTCAATATGTGCCGTTTCTCAACTAGGAAAAACATAGTTGTAACATTGAGAAAATTTTGTTTAGTGTGAAGTCTGTATTTAATGAATCTGTCTCATTGATGAAGTTTCTGAGTAACATGAAGCTAAACATTGATTATTAGTGCAGGAAGACATAGAACATTTTGGAGATGTCGGTTCTCTGGATGATAATATGGATTCATTTCTGTCGCATGATGGAGGAGAGGGAAGAGATCTGTATGGCACCTTAAAACCAGGTCTTACTGAGCATAAAACAGAGTCTTCTAAGGGTAATCAATTGTTGTATTTTGTGTGCGCTATGTTTGACCTAACTGTTTGAATGGTACTAAGAAATGGTCAAATTCTCCATTTCAGGTTTTTCCTTTGGTGAAGTTGGTTGTATAAGGACAAGGAATAAAGTTACCTGCTGTCATTTTTCTTCAGATGGGAAGTTGCTAGCTAGTGCTGGACATGACAAGAAGGTAAAATACATACATTAAAAAATAAATATAATACCTGAAGACTACAGTGGCCAGGCTGGACACAATGGTTCACTTTAGTGATATATGACATGCATAAATTTGGCATTGTGACAAAGGATATTCTCCTTTAAGATCTATATCAATATCGTTAGTTACGTGTATGTATTTGTGGTGCGTGTGTCTGCTAGTTCCAGCCACTGATTGAACTAATATTTCAATAAGCATACCTTAGAGTAAAAGTAATGTTAGCATAGATAAGAAGCACTGATCCAAATGGCATTATGGTCAATTATTCCTGTTACATGCATCAGGTTGTCCTCTGGAGTATGGATACACTGAAAACAGAAACCACACCGGAAGAACACCAATATTTGATTACAGATGTACGTTTTAGGCCAAATTCGTCTCAGCTAGCAACAGCGTCATTTGACAAGTCTGTGCGATTGTGGGATGCGGCTAATGTAATTGTCTCTACCCTCTCTTTTATGATAATCTTTGTAATTCTTGCATTTACAAGCCGCGTGTCTGCTGTTCACATTCTGGTAACCTAAAATTTGCAATGTATGAAGTTTGTATTTATTTATCATTACCACCATAAACACTTATTGGGCTTATTTTTGCAGCCAAGTTATTGTTTAAATGCGTACACCGGGCACCCTAATCATGTTATATCCCTGGATTTCCATCCCAAGAAGAACGATCTTTTCTGTTTTTGCGATAGTAACAATGAAATTCGCTATTGGAATATCAATCCATTCACTTGCGCTCGTGTTTCTAAGGTTGGATTTTGTAACCTTCTCTTTTGTTTTTCACATGTCTCCAAATTTCTATTGAAGCTGCACTGTATTAACCTTGATTTTTGATTCTGTTACTTGGTGTAGCAAGGAGGCAGTGCTCAGGTGAGATTTCAACCAATAAGTGGACATGTACTGGCAGCAGCATCAGATAAGGTGGTGTCCATCTTTGATGTCGAAACTGATAGACAAACTCACGCATTCCAGGTTTGTATTTGTCTTCTATTATTCCATTGATGATTATGTTCTGTATTGAGATTATGGAATCATTCATGTGGCGTATTGAGATTATGTAATCATTCATGTGGCATCGGTACCTTCTGGAATCAGGGGCACTCTGGAGTGGTAAACTACCTGTGCTGGGATCTTAACGGAGACTATTTGGCATCTGTCAGTGAGGAATCCGTGAAAGTTTGGTCGTTAACCTCAAGGGAGTGCATTCATGAGCTTAGCTCCAATGGGAGTCAGTTCCATTCTTGTGTTTTTCATCCAAGTTATTCAGCTCTCTTGGTGATTGGTGGAATGCGGGTACATGCGTTCATTCTAGTTTAATTTTATATGACACGTGATCAACAATTTCTTTAGTAAAATTGCATTGAATAATATAAGATTTCGTTGAAATTTCTCTTCCTTTTCCTATAATTTTAGTAATCTTAGGATTCAACAGATTATAATGTTCTTTACTGCTGCATATGATGATCATACATATGTTTCCTTCTTCTTTAGTAATGCACCCATTGAAGGATTGTTCTGTTTTTAACTTGAGCGACTCTATGTTCAAACATATGATTGTAGTATAGCTATTAGGTTTTCTGATTTTTATCCATTGCAGTCTTTGGAGCTCTGGAACATGGCCGATAATAAGAGCATGACAATCTCAGGTCACGACAATATAATTGCAGCTTTAGCACAGTCACCTGTTACAGGAATGGTTGCCTCTGCAAGTCATGACAGCTCCGTGAAGTTATGGAAATAAGTTTAAACTACACTTAATTGGAGCTGCCTGCCTTAATCCCACTGATATAGAACCTGGGAAAAGACTCAGCAGGGTGTTGCCAACTGTTGGATGTAAGTTTTCTATGCATTATTGTAAGAAATGTGTTGTTTCTTGTAATTTAAGACACATTTCAAATTAGTGCTTTTTTATTTGTTTAAAGCTGGTGAGAATCTAAACACAGGGAGCAGACAGATGATAGATTGTTTGGTGGGAAGGTGAGGGAGAAGAGTGTATGTATGTTCTTCAATATTTTGATTGTTCTGTGATAAAAATGACCCCATGGTGGTTATAGAAAGCACAGTCCATCTCTTGTAAACACTTGGTGGTTGGACTTTATTGACGATTCTCATGGTCTTTAATTCAAGGCACAATTAGCACAATGCCAGATTAAAAATGGTGTACAAATGGAAAATTTTTATATACAAATCTCGTCACATTTAGAGTCAGTAATAAACATTTTGTTATGAAAGGAGGTGATATAAAGAGGCACCTCATTGTGAATGAAATTTTTTATTTAAACAATTGTATTTGTGTAGTATTTTGCTGAAATGCTTAAAGCATTCCACTGGCAATGTTTACAAGAGTGAGTTCTCTTATCACATACTCCGTTTCATGTCATTAAGGATGAATTAGGAGTGCTCAATTAGAATTTCCAAACATTTTTTTTTAAGAATTAAGGCCTTGATTGTTTACCATATATAAGGAACGGATATGATGATGGGGTTAGGTATAATATAAGATGAGTTATACATGTTTTTTTATCTCCTTACATCTTGTGTTTGGTTGTTCCGAAGATAGGGAGTCTGAAAATATATGATGCAATGCCCTTATGATATTGTATATCCCCCTTGGATATAAGAAATTTTTCATTTCAAAGATAAAAAAATAATCACTTTTATCTTATTTCATCTTATATTCTATCTTAATTAAATATAATATAAGTGACCTTACAGTACATATTATACATCTCAAATTTTATAACATATTATATCTCATCTTTACTTTTAATTATTACATATTTTCTTCAAATCTTTATATTTAATCCACATAATCAAACAGGCCTAAGAAAATTAAATATTAAATTTTTTAAAGTTGAATAATATATCTTAATTTTGTTTAATTAATTAAGCAGAGCAGGGAAGACGGAGTAGCGGAAGGACGTGAAAACACAATGGGGGTTAGTTAAAGGGGAAATTACCCACAGGTCCTATATGAAACATGTGGATACTATTTAATCCAGTAACTTTTTGAGTAGACCCAAAAGTCTTACTTTCTTCTCTCTCTCTCTGTTTTTTGCCTGACTCTTTACGTTTTCCTCTCTTTTGTTTTGCATTTTTCTCTCATCTTTTTTGTCATGGACAACTACCGGTGATCATGTCTTTCTCCATTGATCGGGATTCATCGAAAACCACCAACCATCGAAATCAACTCGTGACTTCACCCTCACCGACGGCGAAGATGATATATTTTTGACGAAGAAGATGAGTGGATCTACTTAGATCTACATCAGATTTGGCTAGATCTAAACAAAAAATAGTTGCCGGAGTACAATCATCTCTCTATATCTGCCTTTCTCCTTTGATCTCTCATTTTTTTTTTTTTTTCTCTGCTATACACTTCTGTTTTTCTGTTCTAATGGAGAAAATTTTCAAATTCTGAACAAGTAGTTTTCGAGTTTTAGTTACAAGCGGTGAAAACTGTAAAATTTTACAGTTTCAAATTTTTTGGTGTTGGAATGAATCATGGTATAAAACTGTAAAATTTTACAGTTTATAACATTCTTTAGAGCTGTAAAATTTTACAGTTTCATAACATGTTTTTTCAGTTTGATTCATAAGGATAAATGTTTAATAGGTTTTTACTTTGAAACTGTAACATTTTACAGTTTCAAAACTTACTTTTCAATTTGATCAATATTAGAGATTATTGCTTTTTTACAGTTTCAAAACTTACTTTTCAATTTGATCAATATTAGAGATTATTGCTTGAACCTTACAAAAATTGAAAATAGCATATATTTTTCCCATTGTTGCTTTTTTTGTCGTTTCATTTTTTTTCCTTTTAGTTTGTCAATATTTAGCACGTTTTGCTATTTTTTTTTGCTCTAATTTCTCTATTTATTCTTCTTTTTTTTTTTCTAGCAATATTCTAGATATTCTGGTGAGTCTTCAGTGATATTCTTAACGTCCAGTGAACATTCTGAACATTTCGGCGACTTCCATTAACGTTCTTAACACTCTGGTGAACTTCCGGCGACTTCTCAACGGTGTTGAACATTTCGACGAGTCTCCGACGACTGTTTGACGGAAATCTGACGGTAGTAAAATGTAACAATGTCTGTAAATTTTTTTTTTAAAAAAAAAAAAATTTTTTTAGTAACAATTAAAAATGCATAAGATTAATTGGTGCAAGTATTTTGTTTGAGGATTAGCTGGGTCTTAAACTTTGTATATGGACTTATCAGTAATTTCTCCGTTAAAGGGGAAATTATGGGGAAGTGTGTTCACTGTAAACTACTGAGTTAGGCCAAGTTTGGGAAGATCCAAAAAAGCCAAAAAATCAAAAAGTTACTCAAAAAGCTAAAAAGTTAACACTATTCACCAAAAGTCAACAATTACGGCTGCATAATTCCCAATTCAAATTTTTCCCTAAAAATCAATTTTTACAATTTTTTATTACACATTTTTCAATAAAAAGTCAAAAAGTTAACCCAAACATTCATATTTTCAACCTCAAATTTTTAGTCTAAAAAGACAAAAAGTATATTAATCCTGAGGCTGATGATGAGTCATCATAGAGATCCGACGAGAGGCTATCGGAATCGTGTGTTATCATTAGCTGACTAATCAATCTCCATCGCACGTTGGATCAAAATACAAAAAAAAAAAATCTCCATCGCATGTTTGCCCTTTGTACGGCCTCTCTCTTGGCAATTATTTTTTTATTTATCTACGCTGTAAAAAGGAGAAATTATATTTTGCCCCATGGGCAAAGTTATGTGGTACTCCAAATGGAGTTTGATTGATTAAAACAATAAATTCTATATCACCATGCTTGGTTTTATTTTTCAAAAAATATTTTTTAGAAAATTTTACTTTCTTATTTTTCGTGTTTTTTTGTTTTTATTGTTTTTTTTAATATTTTAAGCAATTTTTAAAATTTTTAGACATACCTAACTTAGATGTATCTAAAAAGTAAAAAATTTGTGAAGAAAACCTTTTAATTTTACAGTTTCAAATTTTTTGGTGTTGGAATGAATCATGGTATAAAACTGTAAAATTTTACAGTTTTATAACATTCTTTAGAGCTGTAAAATTTTACAGTTTCATAACATGTTTTTTCAGTTTGATTCATAAGGATAAATGTTTAATAGGTTTTTACTTTGAAACTGTAACATTTTACAGTTTCAAAACTTACTTTTCAATTTGATCAATATTAGAGATTATTGCTTGAACCTTACAAAAATTGAAAATAGCATATATTTTTTCCATTGTTGCTTTTTTTGTCGTTTCATTTTTTTTCCCTTTAGTTTGTCAATATTTAGCACGTTTTGCTATTTTTTTTTGCTCTAATTTCTCTATTTATTCTTCTTTTTTTTTAGCAATATTCTAGATATTCTGGTGAGTCTTCAGTGATATTCTTAACGTCCAGTGAACATTCTGAACATTTCGGCGACTGCCATTAATGTTCTTAACACTCCGGTGAACTTCCGGCGAAACTCCGGCGACTTCCCGACGGTGTTGAACATTTCGACGAGTCTCCGACGACCGTTTGACGGAAATCCGACGATAGTAAAATGTAACAGTGTCTGTAAATTTTTTTTTTTTAAAAAAAAATATTTTTTAGTAACAATTAAAAATGCATAAGATTAATTAGTGCAAGTATTTTGTTTGAGGATTAGCTGGGTCTTGAACTTTGTATATGGACTTATCAGTAATTTCTCCGTTAAAAGGGGAAATTATGGGGAAGTGTGTTCACTGTAAACTACTGAGTTAATCCTGAGTCTGATGACGAGTCATCATAGAGATCCGACGAGAGGCTATCGGAATCGTCTGTTATCATTAGCTGACTAATCAATCTCCATCGCACGTTGGATCAAAATACAAAAAAAAAAAATCTCCATCGCATGTTTGCCCTTTGTACGGCCTCTCTCTTGGCAATTATTTTTTTATTTATCTACGCTGTAAAAAGGAGAAATTATATTTTGCCCCATGGGCAAAGTTATGTGGTACTCCAAATGGAGTTTGATTGATTAAAACAATAAATTCTATATCACCATGCTTGGTTTTATTTTTCAAAAAATATTTTTTTAGAAAATTTTACTTTCTTATTTTTCGTATTTTTTTGTTTTTATTGATTTTTTTAATATTTTAAGCAATTTTTAAAATTTTTAGACATACCTAACTTAGATATATCTAAAAAGTAAAAAATTTGTGAAGAAAACCTTTTAAAAATTCACTAAATATCCAAAATACAAAAAAAAATACGAAAATTTAATACATTTTTTTGTATTTTTATGTATTTATTAATTTTTTAAAATATTTTTTTACAAATTTTTTATTTTTTTGATACATCTAAGTAAGGTGCATTTAAAAAGTAAAAAAAAAATGTTTAAAATTTAAAAAATATTCACTAAAAAGAAAAAAACACAAAAACCAAAAAATTTAATTTTCAAAAAATTTAATTCAAAAAACTCAAACCAAACACACTGATTATTTTTGTGTCTCATTTGAGAAGACATATGGATAAATACACAAATGCCCAATTGTAAGTAGTGTGGAGCAATACTCTAAAATCACTCAATACCTTCTCTATAAAAGGGTTTGCAAATAATTATAAATTAGCCTATCACTCGTGCTATGCACGGGATAATTATAGATATTTATATTTTTTTTATATTTTTTTTAATAAATAAATTATGTTTTTAAAGATTTTTTTATAAAAATAATTTAACAATCTTATCACTAACCATAGTGTATGAGAAAAGTTGAAAATGATACTACAATAACTATATATGGATTGTATGTATAATTATAAGTATGAGGGGATTTTAAATGCTGATCAGGGGATTTTGACCACATCAATAAATCAATAATTGTGTTGGTCCAATTCATCAAATATAGTAAATTAGTAATCCATGTATGAGTGTATTGTGGTTTATTTAATATTATGGCAGTCTAATCTTGTAAATTAAAAATCCATGCACATGTGTTATTTAATATTATTTTCTCTGTATCTAAATTATCATTTCATACCATGGTTTAAATAAATTGTTTATTTAAATGCTGTACATTTATTTAATTTCCCTTGATATTTCAAAAAAAATTTGGGGCGTCTCAACATACCCACAGTTTCCTCACTTTCCTGACTTGCCACCAAAACCCACCAATTCCA